CTGTGGGGCCGGGGGTTCTGGGGCGCTGTGGGGCTATGAGACCTAGGGGGCGCGGGGGGCCTGGTACAGACGGGTGTGGGTAACCGGCAGGTGTTCCTCACAGCTCCAGAGGGCGGGAAGGCCAAGGCCAGGCTGCCAGGCACAGGTGAGCGCCTGCTGCTCGGGGGCCCGTGGGCCGGGCGGGCGCAGCACTCCGGAGCTTCCCTGTGACCAGCACCCCTGAGCCCACGACCTGGCCTGCTGCCTTCGGCGCTGAGTGCAGCGTAGGGCCAGGCGGGCAGACAGCGGGCAGCGCGAGGCTCTCAGCTGGGAGAGGAGCGAGGCCTGAGGCCAGAGCTCTGCTGGTGGTGGCTGGCGGAGAGGCTCTGGGGAAGGGCCGGGCAGCAGACTGTCCAGCTCCTGCTGCGGCCGCTGGCTGCACTGGCCAGCAGCCAGGACCCCCAGATTCGTGAGGCTGAGATTTGAGTTCAGGAAGAACCAGCTGCCTGGAGGGGTGCCAGATCCAGCAGTGCGGCCTGTGAGGCGCCTGGCAGGGCGCTGACCTCTGTGGGTGGGCCTGGGCTCCCCGGAGTGGAGGCTGTCCTGGCCAGGCCGTGCCACGCGCAGGAGCCCGCGCTGCGGGGTCGTTTGAAGCCGCTGTGGCTCCTGAGAGTCTGAGATGAACACAGGGGTGGTGGCCAGAAATGGGAACGGCCTGGACTGAGCGCTGGCCAGGCAGCCGCAGCGTAGCGGGCCGCAGAGTGTGGGCGCCTGGCAGAGGTGCAGTCGCCACGCCCTTGGCGCCTGGCCCTGCCCCGTGGCTACCCGGCCTGCGTCTGGGGCTGGTGGCTGCCCTGTCCGCACTCAGGCGCGTTCCCGTTTCTCCAGAAAGGAGGAAATCCTGGCCTCACGCGCCCGACTTCGCCCCCCAGCCCGAGGCCCTGACCGTGGAGGTCCAGTTCCAGCTGACCCAGTGCCGCTCAGCCGAGGAGGCGCTGCGAGTGGTGACGCTGCTGGGCGCCGACTAAAGGCTGTTCCCACCTGTCCCGTGTGGTCCGCCTGCCGCCGCTGCCACCTGGTGGCGTGGCGAGCGCCGCGCCGCGTGGAGGG